GGGAGTGCCAATAGACTGACCTTTAGTTTTGTAGGATACCTTTTTTCTTTAGAGTGTGGTTAGAGTGACAGACTACTAATGTGTTACACATAGGCTCAATCCTTACATCTGACGTTATTACTCTTTTTTTCTTTTCCGTTGACGGTTTAATGGCCTTTTTAAACCATTTACTGACAGTTAACTGCCTAAAAACGTCCTAAAAACCGTCTATTTTACGTAGACCGTTTTACCGCCGTAAATTAGTAGTTCAAACTATCCGAAAACTGCCTATTTACAGCCAGTAAACCATCTTTTAACGGTCAAGCTTCTCATGAAAATTCGATGTATGAGAACGCGGTTTACTGGCAGTTTTTAGGCAGTTGAAAAACCACCTATTTACGGTGGTAAAACCATACCATCCGAACATCAAAAAACCACCTAAAAACTGTTTGAACGGTCTAAAAACGGCTGGTAAACTGCCTGTTAACTGGCAATTAACTGGCAGTTAACTTGGCAGTTTTCAATGTCCTGGGCGGGTACAGCCGTTGAAATGTATATATAAAGTTTTCGTATTAAATTATCGGACTCATTTGCGGCAGAAAAGTGAGTAAGAAAATCTATCTTTGATATTTGTCCCTGATGTATTGAATCTAAGTTTCTTGAAGTGATATTAGAAATGTAGACGCAAAACACAGATTTTCTGGCTGGTTCATTGAAATAAAAAAAATATTACGATGCATGTCTGATCACAGTCACCTCTTTTATTGTCTCCTGTTAAAATTAAAGGTCAGTCTATTGGCACTCCCGAGGGTGTCAACCAGGAGCTATTGCTACTCCCAGCAATTGTTTGGGAGTATCCGTCCGCATGGAGCTATTGGCACTCCCAGGGAGTGTCAACTAGGAGCTACTGGCTTATTCTCCGAAGCCAAACATTTTAAATTAAATGTTCTTCTCATAAAGTTGTTTTATTTTATTGAGTTGTTTGAAAATGAGTTCCAGTTCACGAGGAGTATAAGTTAGCTCAAGTTTCTCTGGAAGGTGATGTAGTTAAATGAAAAAAACAGTGTTATTCGTATGTTCATATTGTGCAGGTATATTGTGTTTTCCGAAAACGGTGATACCTATTTCTTTTGAAAGAGAACGCTGTGTGATAGGAATTATACGGTTGCAAAATTTACAAATCAGCGTTTACAGAGTTTTAGTACTTGAAATGAAAGACTTCTTTTGTAAAAGTTCATAGTTTTCTCTAGTTTCGCTGGTGCTCATTGAAGCCCATTGCAATAAACTCTTGATCACTAGTCTTTGTGTTTCTTGGTGTTATTGCGTTAGTAGTGTTTTTACTTGAACGCACCTCGAAAATCATACAATAAAGTAGAAGAGATTGAAAGGTACAATTGAAAGGGTTGTAGTTTTGCAGTGTGATTAACACCCTCGGGAGTACCAATAACCATTCCGTAAAATTAATGATAATATGCCATCAAACGCCAACAGAGAACCAGCACTATTTGATGTCACCTGTCTAGGGTGTTCGAAATGCTTTCACCCTTTCTTCTGCGCTGGATTGTCCCGATTTTCTACAATTTATTGAAGATGGGAAGTGTTATAAATGTTATTCGAAATAAGAAAACAACAATTTGGTAGTCATTCGCGTAAAAATAAGCAACACAACGACTTTCATTTATGTTTTAGTAATTTTTTCGTGCGTAAGAAGAGCTTTCTATGATGGACAAAAAAACTTTACAACCGTTCGGAATGGAAACGGAAAAAGCCAGTTATAAAGAGTGGAAATGAGCGTTAGCCATGGATAACAGAGAGTAACCTAAGCGAATGGTTCTCTGCGAAAAACGCAAAATGTGTCTCTAAAAAATTTGCATTGTTTAGATTTCTAATTAATTTACTCCTATTCTTAAATATGTCTCACAGCGGAGTTACTCCAGATCAAGAGCGAAAACAACCACAAACATCGGCGTCAACAAGTGTAACGAGCAAAAGCGGTAAAAATATACATCTTTGTTAGCTCTCACTTTACCTGTGGTAGTTATATCATTTTCTTCGCTATTACAGCTATCATTCAAATCAAAGGATATTAATGCGCATCCTTTGCCGAAACTGTATTTTCTTCCAAAACGCAAAACTGAGATCAGTCTATGATTGAATAAGATACACCGTTTCTTCTTAAAAATTCTCAAAAGTATATCAAAAAAGGTTACTGTAGGATTTTTATCGGACTCAAACTGTCCGAGTATGTCCGAAGGAGGAAGGGTGAGCAAGTAGTTGATCTGTTTTGTTACTAAATCCCAAATCTATTTTTTTGTATAAAAAATATCTTTATATGAAAGCTTCTCCAACATTTCGGATAGCATATTTTGTACACGGATTACTGTGTCCAAAAATAAACCCTTCTGAATTGTCTAAAGCATAACTGTCAAAGATGATTATACTGATATCTGAGATGTGAGATAATTAAGTCAAAAGTTTACTAGCCTATAGTGCCATATTGGGAAGACTTCCTAATTACCGATACATCTCAGCAGATAAGTTCTACCTTTGACAGACAAACTAATTATCAGGAGTTTTTGATTTAAATTTTATCTTAAAATAGAACACAAAATGGAAAAGAGAAAAAACCTAAAAAGTGAAGTTAGAACGTACAGTTAGACGTTAACGACAACATAAGATCAATTCCACGTTTTCAGATGTTAAGTGCGTCTCAAAGTATCCTTGCATAAAGAGTTCCATACTACCTAGGAATTCTACCTCAAACTGTGAAAGTTTTTTGAGATCGTCATAGAATTTTTGCAACTTTATGTCTCGCCATGATTAATATTTTTTCAGAAATTTTGTCAAAAGTTGAATAAGAAATAAAAAAAAGCTTTTATGACATGAAGGATGTGTTCTGATTACTTTCAAATAGCTATCATTTATTTTTGTATCCGCTTAGAAGGTACAAGTGAATCTCGTTTTGCTCCATTCATGCAAACAATTCAACTATATGATGCACAAACTGGAATGCCCATTGGTGTATATTTAGAAAATGATAACACGTTAAGTTTAAATAATGTGCAACTAGTTTATCCAAATGCTACAACAGTCAAATGCATTCTTTCAGATCAACCATATCCAAAACTGTATGTATATTAGAATAATTGAGATGTGTGGACAAAGTGTCTAAAGACGAATTGACGAATCGCAATTTTTTAAGCGTAAAAATGATGCAACAATTCGCGTTTTACCCTTATTTTGTGAATTCGTACCGAATTGATGCGAACTGTATC